TTTTATGGAGGTCTGACTTAACCCTCCTGGAGAGAGGACAGGCAAGGGCAGGAGCAGGGAAGCAGCCGAAAGGAGGGAACAGCCCCACGCAGGAACCATCTCCAGCTGCATCAGTAACCAGCAGCAATACTTCTCCCCAAAAGGGTTTTGGGCACCTCCTTTCTGCTGAAATCCAGGGGGTCTGGGCCTTTTTCTGGACATTTGCGGTGTCTCCCGTGGGCTCAGTCCACATGATGTGCACAGGGCTGGATGTGGCCATAGGGTTGTGGGGATGGCTCCTGCTCTCTCCTGTTGGGTGGCTTTGAATATATCCTACTAGGGATGGCAATGCACCCCTCTCAATCCCGGGTGTCCCCTTCCCCACACTGATACAGGCTGTGGGTGGCTGCTCCTTCTTAGAGATCCGTGATACCATCCCTTGGAGCCTGACTCTGTCCTCTTCCCTGGCGAGGCACATTGCTTGTGCCAAGGACCTCGTGATGCCATGCTCGGAACCTGTGGTGGCCCAGGTAGCAGCGTGTGACATCCACCCTGCTGCTTTCACTGTCCTCCTGGGGTGCAAAGAGCCCACCAGCCTTTCCAGAGATATTCAGGGGGACAGGGGCAAGAGAGGACCAGCGCAGAGGATGTTACGGCTTCAAGGAGCCCTTCCCACTGGGATGACACGGGCTTGTCGTTTATTCTGGGCCTTTGGCATCTCGGCTTTATTTTACAATGTGCAAGTGGGAAGGTCTCACCACCTCCTGTCTAATCCTGGAGCCCTCTTTAGGGGATGGTCCTAATCTCCAGGATTTGCCCCAGCTGTCAGAGGCATCTTCTGTCTTCCCACACCGACACATCAGCTGTTGTGATGGGGAGAGTCATTGCCAAGGCTTTCCCCCTTCCTACCCAGCGGGTCTCTGATGCTGCGATTTCCTAAACTGGCAAATCTGGGTGAATGGGTAGACACAACGCTTTTGGGGTACAGCCAGATTTATGTCTTTGCAATGAGGCCCTGTCAATAAACCCAGCTGAAAGGTGACCATGCTGCGTCTTTTGTAGGGGGGCTGAATAACAGTGGCACGAGGAGAATCTGATCCTTCAAGGAAGAAATGACACTCTCGTTATTTAGACCTGTACGTTACCTGGAAGATAAGTAAGTCAACATATCAATGGTGCAGTGGGCTGAAAATGTGGGTCAAAACCAATTTATAAAAATTCCCTGCGTCCTCTAGAAAAGAGATCTTTTCTCACTGGAAAACATGAATACCCTGTATTTCAGCTAAATCCTGAAATACTTGGAGTTTCAGGCAAAGATATGTTGATATTTAAATGATCACTAAAATTTTAATGTTCAGCCCTCCCAGTTGCCTGCAGGAACAGCCAGCGCAGCCCACTCAGTGTGCTCTTCGTTTTCATGCTGAGGTGGAGGAATCGCACCAGTGGGCATTTCGTTTCATTTCTGACACCAGACCCATTTTAGCTCCCTCACTCCAAAGTTGGGGGGCTGAGACACGCCACTCCTGTCCTTGTTGGTGAAATGACTCCATGGGAGCAGCTTCTCCCTCCCCATCCTGCATCCACAGTGGGTAACGAAACCTTTGACTCCCGAGTCTGGTCCCTAAGGGAAACCCTTTGACTTTGAACTTGGGCAGCCTGCCATGATGCCTTTGTCATCTACAGCAGGCAGCGTAGTGTTTCCCTGCTTGAGTTTGCTCAACGTACGGCGGTCTTGCTGGCAACGTGTGAATAAACAAGATGCCAATATACTACAGTAACATGGCCCAGATAAGTCTGGATGATAAACCATGTTGATTCACTTGCTCTTAACCTATGAGTCATCTTGTGAGTCAACAGATAAAACAGCATCTAAATGTCATCCAGCAGGCTGAAAAACTCGAGTTTTGTTCAAATCAAGAACTTCAAACAAAATAATTGCATTGATGTTCTTTTCCTGAGGAAAGTGTTTAATTTTCAACCACACTCTCCCGAATTGAAATAGGAGAGAAACCTGAGTGCTCATTTCCCTATGAACTAGAGTCTTGGTATTGACTTTTTTTTTTTTTCCCCAGAGCTCTTTAAATCGCTTTTCTTAACACATGATCAAAAGAAACCTGCTTTTTGCAAAGTGTTTTGGTTTAGGTACGTCAACACATCATGATTGCCTTTGGGAAAGACACATGGAAGACTTCTGGGCAGAGTTGATGGTTGTGGAACTCCGGAGGTGGCCACCTGTGATCTGATGGACTAAGTCATCAAGGTATGGTCCATGTGAATGCTGAGGGGTCAAGGAGGTGCCAAGGTCATCCAAGAGAGGGTGAAATCCCTGTGGGTCAAGGTATCGAGAAACCAAAGCTTATCCAGTCCTCCCCTCTGGGTGCCAGACCCACCAGGGAGGAAAAGACAGCTGGAGAAGGACAGATGGACAGTCTCCTCTAGCCTTACATCGCTGTGCTGGGGAGCAGGGCTGTCTTCTCTTTTGCCAGAGCAGCTGCAGAAAATTTTGTGGTTCATGACCCACTTGGCAAGTTTGAGGCACTCCAAGCTGCTCCAGTGAGTGGGAAGGGCTGCCAGTACCCATTCATGGCCCACAGGCTGGGAGCCCCATGTCACCCTCTCTTGCCTCAGGGACCTCATCCCTCAGGCATCCCAAAGGTATTTTGGGGAAGGAGGAGCCTTTATTAGTCATATTCCTCCTCACTGGTGGAAGTAATCGAGGAACATCTGGGTTATCACATAGTTTTGGAGGAAACATGCCCTCCCTGAGATACTGATACCGTCTCTTGGTGTCCTGGCTTCATCCTGCTGCCAAACGCAGTTTCTGAAATAACCAGGAGAGGAAAAGATCTCTCCCTGGAGCAGGAGGGTTGTGCTGCCAGTCTGCAGCCTCCAGGCATGATCAAAGCCCATGGGGGACCAGGTTTGCACTCCTGTTACCTGATCCCCATGTGACTTGCAAGGCTGGTGGCTGTGAAGAGCTTTCTTCTCAGCTTACAGGAGGAGCAGGGCTAGCAGAAAGTGCAGGGTCTGCCTTATGCTCTTTCTAGAGATCGGCAGTTGCCTGTCGAGCTGTCTGTCTGTGTAGAGCACCATGGGCAGGCGTCCTCGGGGTGATGCCTCTGTGAAACCATCAGTGCTTGCCTGTTGCTGCCTTGCAGCCAGGAGCTGAGCCCAGTGTCTGTCCAAGCCGAGCACCCCTGTGACAGCCTGATGGACCAAAGACCCAGCACTGCTGTCACGGCCTCCTCTCCTCACCCCTTCTTCCCACCCATCCATGGCTCCTGCTCCAGCTGGGCTGCATCCTTCAGAGCCCTGTGGCTCTTTTTTGGTATATAACCATCCCGTTAAAGACCAGCCTGGCCAATGGTTCTGCTCTTTCTTCTCTCTCTCCCCTTCCTGGGTGACCACAGCTCTCCCCACCTGGAAAACCACCCCCTTGTTAGCAAAGCTCAGATCATCTGGCCCTGCCAGAGTACACGACTTCATGCTCTGGCTGTCTCAGAGGTGACTCTTGACCCTGATGTCCATGTTTGGAGCTGTTTCCTGGGGACCACGAAACCACGAGCCTTTGGACCAACACCCAGGAGAGCTGGGCTTGATTGGCTTCTCCATAGCAGCATCCCCAGAGACAGAGGAACAGGAGAAAATGCTCTGTCAACCTGAATTTGAGGAAGGTTGAGGAATTAGACCATAGGTTATGGAGACATTCTTAGTAGCATCTCATGCATAGCATGGCAAGTGAGGGAACTGAGGACAGGCAGGGGGTGAGTTGGGTTATATCCTATAGGACTAATGGGGCTTTCCTTGGTCAGTGGAGTGCTTTGGGGCAAATCTGATTTTGGGGGCTAACAGAAGGGTGACAGGTCACAAGTCCTGGGGTGACCAGACTCCATGGACAAGGACCTGGTCGTATGGGCAGGGCAGAGGCTGGAGGACATGGCACAGGGCTGGCTAGTGATTAATTTTCTCCAGGAATGTGGGTCAGGGGTACAGGCAGTTGGGTTGGTCCAGATAATCCCAGGAGTTACCTTCCAACCTCAACAGTTCTGAGTTTGAGGTGGATGCTGGGGGAGGACATGGGGGAAGCAGAGAGGTCTGTCTGGGGTTACAGTAGGGAATGTGGGAGGACATGGCAGGGAGCAGGTGGGTTTGGGGGTCAGCGCAGGACTAACAGGGAGGGTTGGGGAGGTCTGTTGTTAATGTAGGGGCTGGGGGAAGGCATGGGGGGTGGAGGGTCAATGGGGAGGCTAGGGGGAAGACTTAGGGGGGCAGTGGGTGGCTGAGGAGGTGGCAGTGGAGAGGGCTGGGAAGCCCTTAGCTAGAGGGGTGTCAGTGCTGGGGAGAGGAGCGGTGTCCCCAAAGAAAGGTGACCTGGCCCTGGCCTGCCCAGTCCCGTGCGAGCCTGGGGGGGATGGTGGTGGGGGGGTTGGGCAGGACCATGTGCTGCAGTCCCATAGGAGGGGATAGGGGCGTGCTGCTGAATGTGCAGGTCCCGGGTGGCTATTCCTGGCAGCCCCCGCCTGCGCAGGCAGATTGGTTTGCAGGGAGGTGACAAGTGCCAGCCGAAGCCTATAAAAATCTCCCAGCCCCTGTTCTGGCTCAGTGACCTGGTTCCCCCCTTCCAGCACAGCCGTCCCAGAGCGGAGACCGTCTGTTCAGAGTGGAGACACCTGGCCCGGAGCAGGGACCCCAGCTTTGGAGTCAAGATCCCAGATCCGGAGGAGAGACCTTTGGTCTGGAGCAGGGACCCCAAAACAGAGCGGAGATCCCGGAGCAAAGAACCCAAACCATCCTCTTCCCCAGCCTCCAGGCTTTGCAGCGATGACCAGCAAAACCGCACCTCCAGCCACAGACCCGGCTGTGGAGACACCTGGCCCGGAGCAGGGACCCCAGCTTTGGAGTCAAGATCCCAGATCCGGAGGAGAGACCTTTGGTCTGGAGCAGGGACCCCAAAACAGAGCGGAGATCCCGGAGCAAAGAACCCAAACCATCCTCTTCCCCAGCCTCCAGGCTTTGCAGCGATGACCAGCAAAACCGCACCTCCAGCCACAGACCCGGCTCCGGCAGCTCCGAAGAAAGAGCCAGTGCCAACCGCAAAGGAAGAACCGGCACCAGCCCCAGCTGCTGAAAAGTCCCCAGCCCCTGAGCATCCCCCTGCCGCGGAGCAGCCCACAGCCACCGCAGACAAGTCTGCTCCCATCCCCACAGCAGAAGGGACTCCAGCCCCTAAAGAAGGTCCCCTGGCTCCCACAGCTGAACCCCAAACCCCAGCCCCTGAACCTAAGCCTGAGATACCCAAGGCAGGTGAGAACAAGACAACTCTGAAGTGGGGAGGGCAGAAATGCAAGCCTGGGAGGGGGCATGTGTGGATGCGAGGGTGAAGGGACAGAGGGATGAAGTTATCAAGGATAATTTTGCAGTGGGATAGGGCTAGGGGATTAGGAAGTTGGGGGGGCTGAAGACCAACGTGGAGGTTGGGTGATTGTCCTCCAACAGCCCCATTACTTGAGAGCCTGTCCTCACCACTGTGGGTTTGTTACAGAGCCGCCCAGCTCCCCCTTGTCCTTGGCCGTGGAAGAAGTGAGTGAAAACTCGATTACGCTGACCTGGAAAGCCCCGGAGCAGACAGGCCAGTCGGGCCTGGATGGATACGTGGTGGAGATCTGCAAAGATGGAAGTAGGCTTGGGTTTTCCTTTTCCTGCCTCATAAGCATGGAAAGCTGGTGTGTTGCTGCGGAGGTATGGGACGGAGCTGGGCGGAACCTGGCAGCGCGTTTCCCAGGCACCATTTCCCTTTCTTTGCTCAAATGGTTCATTTTAAATGGTCATTTTTTTTTCCATGGAGGAGAAGGGCTTCCCGTTGGCTTCAGATAGTAGTGATGTCTTTAGCAGCTGGCTGGACTGGGTTTGATGTCAGTGCCATGTCCAGCTAGAGGGTGGAGGAGACACTAGCATACCCACTGAGGATGGTCTCTGATGAACTCCAGCTCTGAAGAGACCTGGGGTTAGGATGGTGACCCAGGAGGAAGATGATACAATTCTCCCATGTTTGCCCAAAATGAAGTACAGAAGGAATGGGGATAAGGTGGGAGGGTGAGGAAAGGGTCCTGGGCAGCATGAGAGGGGCTGGCAAGCCTTGCCCAAGTGAGATGGAACTTGAGATGCCTGGAAGAAGGATGGCCGTGGTGGATGGAGGTGGGCTGGTGGGTGGCAACAATTATCTGTGGTTCTCCAGTTGCATTGCTGGTTGGTGGAATGGCGTAGGTGGGTAAGACTTGTGTTTTGGGCACTCTCTTGCAGCCCTGCTTGGCTTTGGGGTGAGAGTGAATGACCTATGTGGCTGGGAGGATCTGCAAGGGGAGGCTGAGGCTGGTGAGCTGGGTTCTACATGAGGCTGGAGTGGTTTGGGAGACCCAGGTGGTCCATGGGCCTTGGGGAACTTGCTCTATGATCCTTGGCTGCTTAGCTTGTGGTTGGCACAATCAAAGCCGTGGGAGGCTTTCATCATTGGGCTGGGGATTGAGGAGGTAACCATGGCTGGATGGGATGCATGAGGGGGGCCTTGTGTGGGACAAGGAAAGATGCAGCCGTTCCTGGAGGGTGCTGGCTGACAGCCACCCAAAGGTCACAGTTTTGGATGCTCTCCTAGCTTGTTTTGTGCTTGGCTGGGTGACAGGAGAGCTCTAGTCATTTAGTGATAACCACACGAGCTCCGTGACCGCTGTACTTGGGCTGGTGGAAGACCCTGGTTGGCTAAAATATGATGAGATTTGAGTGAGGGCTGGTTTGGATAATGCCAGTGGTGAAGGGAAATTGCTGGTGGGGAACTGGCTGGTCTGATGGCATTGACAGGAAAACCTTCTTGGTTGGAACGTGCACACCATGGTTTAGCAAACCCTGGCACACATGGCTTGGTCTAGTTGCCTGCCTGGGACACCTGATCCTTTGGTGACTGTTTTCTAACTGAGAAACCTCTTAAGAGGTTCAGCACTCTGCAAGGCTGTGTTAGCTGGCTGATGTGGCTTCTATGTCTTGGCTGTGTGGTGAGTTTGAGATGCAGGAAGAATAGCTGGAGAGGTCTAGCTGGCTGGAGGCAGGTGATGAGCAGACCTTGCTCGATGTGGAAGATGCGCTGGGGAACACAGTGAGCTCCAATGAGTTATCCTGGAGCAGTAAGAGGAGCAGACTGGCTAGCAGGGTGGTCAAAGGATCTTAACTGCTTCCAGAAATGCACCAGGTTACTGGCCTAATGCCTTCTCTTGCTTGCAAATGGCCTCCAGCTCAATAGTTGAGCTTCTGCCAGCACTTTGCACCCCACGCTCCTTGGCAGGGTGGGGTGGCCAACCTCGCCTCTAAGATGCTTTTTTCTGCTGGTGCCCTGAATCATTCAGCCTTTGCAAGGAAGGGGTTCTTTGCCTCTGAGTTTCGCCCCCTGTGGCTTGATCCTGCTGTTTGGGGCTGGTGTCTGTCTGGCCATTGCACGCCTGAAGTGCTCTGCCTGCTTCATTGTAGGTACAGACTGGACAGCTGCAAACAAGGAGCCTTTTCTTTCCACCCGGTACACAATCCAGGACCTCGGCTCTGGTGACAAGATCCATGTACGGGTGAAGGCTGTCAGCGCCAGCGGTGCCAGTGTCCCAGCTACATTGGAGCAGCCAATCCTCATCAGAGAGATCCTCCGTAAGTACTGCTCCTGCCGTGCGTAATTCCCATGTGCTTTGTCAGTGGTGCAAAGAAAGCACAGCTCACCCAGCAGCCTGAGCAGCCTCTGCCCTCTCACACATCGCAAGCCAGCCTTTGACCGAGATGTTATTCTCAGTAACTGCGTCCAATTCCCTTTGGGTGGGATGGAGTAGCTTCCCGACCTCAAGATACTGACCTTGCAGATGGTGAAGCTTTGGGGGTGAAGGACTCAAAATGCAGAGCCACGGTTTCCCGTTTCATTGCAAGAGCTCGTCAACAGCCTCACTTTCAGCACATGTCCTCTTCTTGGCCTTGCTTACATCTCTAATATGCCATCACACACACATTGGACAGCTTTGTTTATTTAGCTGAGGAAAGTCAAGAGCTGGTAGTCTGGAGCATGGGAACTTTAATCATGCTGAACTCGCTAATGAATGACTTGCTCCCATGCTTAGCAAGACTAGCATTCCTCCGGGGGTGCTGCGAATATGCTGAGGCTGATGTATGATTGCAAGCCTGGTTTTCACTTATTAAACTGCAAATACAAAATTCTTTTCCCTTTACAAGGAATTATTAATGAGCAAGTTTTCCTATTACTCAAAGAACACATTGGATTTTTCAGCTGCTTAAGAATAGTGATAATAATAAGAGAAGTTATTCCAGGAACCATCAGCTTTTCATAGGAAAAGGGTTGGAGAAGGCTATCGGCATCTGGAATGGGTCCTGCACAGTCCATCCTCTCAGTCTGCTCAGAGGAGGTGAACATGGCTTGGTGGCTGGTGTTTGCTGCCGTGCTCACCTCCAGATCTCAAAGGCATCCCGTCATACCTTGTGGGACTGGGGAAACTGAGGCATGGGGGACCGGCATGAGACGCCAAATACACAGCTTGTGTTTCCAGCTTCTAGTCCTGTGCTGCACCCACCTGTTCAAGCCCCCCTGTCCCTGCTACCTGAGCTTTGTCCCAGCCTGGCTGTGAGATGTAAAACCCAAAGATCTGGGAGTCCCACACACAACTTGCTCTTCCTCCACACTATTGGGTTTTTTTCTCTTCTCTCTTTTCTTTTTGCTAACTCTTCCTCAGCAAACAGCACTTGCTACTTTTGCATTTCATTTGAAATACAGCTTTGTGCACACTGTCTGGCTTTGCTGAGGAACAAAATAGCCCTCAATGTCCATCTACCTCCCCATGCCCACCCTAGTTGTGCTGGTGCATGTCAGGTGTACGACTCCGCTCCTCTCTGTCCCATCTGTTACCTGCTGGCCTTCACATTTTATTTGGGACGGCATTTTATACCTCTCTCCGGTTCATTTATAGCATCTCAAGAGATTTTAAATAGCAGCCATACAGATGGCAGAGAGTTTTAAAAACAGGTGGGACGAGTGGGTTTGGGAAGTGGAGAGAGACGAGGAGAAACCAGATGAAGATTTGGTGTGGGAGTCGCGTTTTGCAGGGAGCTGGGGCAGGAAAAATGCCTTCCCACCCGCAGCAGCGTGTCACCTAGGCCACCGACCTTGGCCAGCCCTCTCCGTCTGAGCAAGGCAAGCGTGAGCTGGGGAAAACACCCATGAATTAACATTCCTCCCCTCGAGGTCAGGTTTCTCTGCCCCCGCTGAGACTGACGAGCCCAAGTGGCAGCATCGCCTCGACGCATGGATCCCTGGAGTGAATAGCAGCATGAGCAGAGGAGGGACCATCTCAGCTGTCGGTGGGGCCATCTGGGACCGTCGGGCATCTCCCTGCCCTCCCCAGCCCACCGCCGGCGTTTCATGCTCACAGCTGTTTAAGCCATTGCTCAGTCCCGGTTTAATTCTGGCTGTGCCCCCTCCCCAGAGCTAAGCTCCAGAACGTTTAATCCAGGCAGAGACACACAGCTCTTTTATGAGGGGCTCACGTAAACCCAATGCCTCTCCAGCAGGATCACCGAGCGGCACCGAGCCGGTAGGGTTACACGGCTGCTATTTTCACCCCAGGAAGGAGACACACGCTCCATCAACATTCTCCAGTGGGTTTTTTGCTTATCTTTGTTATGTTCCCTTGGGGACGTTAGCCTTTGCTTTAAGCCTGGGGCTTTCACAGCTCTGCTGTGAGTAACCATGCACCACCTTGGTCTCTCAATGGCCTTGAGCGCCCAGAGAAGGTGAAGGTCTGGTGAGCCTTGTCCTTGCTGCAGGTTGGGTTGTGCGCCTCTGGAAAGTCTGCTTTCTGAGCTGGGGAAGAAATATTTCCTAACTGGGAGATGCTGTCCTCTGCCTTGCTACCATGTAGGCTGTGCTATGGCTCTTCTGGTTAAACCCATGTTGGTTTCCATGACCTGGCTATAATGAAGGGTGGGTCAGTGGTCTATCAGGGTGGTGCCAATGGGTCCGTGACCTGGTACCACAAGGGTGGATATGATTTTGGGGTTCAGGCAATGGGGCAGGTGGCCCTGCAGGGAAGCAAGCACTGTCCAGGAGATGAGAGGGAAGAGGTGGCTATGTTTCCAGGTGGGATTTCTTGATGGCTAAGCAGGGGGATGCGTGGGGTGGGTCAGGCAGTTGGGGGCTGTGATTTCCTTGGCCCCACAGCATGACTTCCTGTTCCCCAGAGCTCCCAAGGATCCGCATGCCCCGTCACCTGAGGCAGACTTATGTCAGGCATGTTGGGGATGCTGTGAACATGATGATCCCTTTCCAGGTAGGTTTGGGATTTAATCCTCCAGACTTTTTCACTTTGGGTTAGGCTCTGCAGTGACTTTTCTAGCCACCATGATATGCCTAGGGCCAACTACGGGCTGGCTTGTCCTGGTCCCTGTCTCTCACGGGCCAAGTGTGGGAGATGGGGTGAGAACCTTTCTCCCATTCCTACCTAGCTCCCATTCCTACCTAGCTCCCATTTTTCTCCTATGTCTTTATTGACGGTGTTGCCAATGGGACAACCCCAAACACACTAGGGCATGGGCTAACTATTGCTGCTGTCTTGGCCCATGAGCCCTGTTCAGCTCGTGCTCCTGGCTGAGCCTGGCAGGGATCTGGCCACTTACCGCAGGACCCCACAGCACAACAGTGGGGGTCCCCTTAGAGAGGGCAGCTGCCTTTGAAACAGGGCAACCCTAGGGCTGTGTGATGGGGGAGCGATGCTGACACTGGTGGACCAAGCTGGAAGTTCTCTCCTCAAATGACTCATCACATACTGTCTGGGGCATCACCAAAGCATCTCCACCACAGTGTCTGGGATGGAGTAAAACCAGTCCTGAAACATGTTGGCCGAGCAGGGGGAAGCGAGAGGCAGAAAGCTGCCCCTGAAATGAGGGACATGTCCATGCTATCTCTCATAGGTGGTTGGGGGTCTGTGTTGGCCATTCTCCTTGCATGAATTGGGCCTGGATGCTGAATTCAAGGCCTTGCTGCTAGATTTGAACCTGGGTTCAGTGCCTGGGCAACAGGAGCACAGCTCTGCCTGTAACACCTTGGGCAAGTAAAGATGGGCTTGCTCTATGAGGACTTTGGGGGACCAGGATCACCCTTGGAGCCAGATGGCTTCCCGTCAGTGGTGCTGGCAGGGATCGACTCTAGTTTCTTCCATGGGGACTGCTGGATGGGAGAGGCCATATCGAGGCCACTGCTGCCTGGACAAAGCGGGGTGGCTCTGCCCACCCGTCCTTCCCAGCAGGACCCATGGGGACTGTGTGCTCAAGTGGCTTCTAACCTGCCTGTGTGGGTTGCTCCAGGGAAAGCCTCAGCCCGAGGTGATCTGGACCAAGGGTGACCAGCCCCTGGACACCAGCCGCATCAACATCCGCAACACGGAGAAGGACACCATCTTCTACATCCGTGAGGCGCAGCGCAGCGATTCGGGCAAGTACGAGCTCACCGTGCGGATAAATGGAGCAGAGGACAAGGCTACCCTGGACATCAGGGTGATTGGTAAGGCTGGGAATGGGACCCTGCAGGGTCACTCTGGGGCTCATTTCTGCCCCTTGGTTGGGAGTACCTCTTATTCTGGGTGAGATGGGACAGGGGCAGCAACAAGGCAAGGGACTCTGGAGTCCCTCTTCCAGTGGGATCTTCTCCAGGGCCATGGAGGTGAATTATTTTGGTTGGGGATGCAGGGTTTCTGCCAGCCCATGCTGATTGCAGCTCCTTCTGCCTTGTGTGCTGCAACGAGGTGAGAAGAGATTAAAAGCAAAGTGCAAGGGATGGTCAAGGCGCAGAATGTGTGTGTGGGGGGGAGCAAACTAGGATGCCACCCTGTGAGGGTTTGTATTTGCAGAACCACCGGGCCCCCCCCAGAGCCTGAAGCTGGTGGATGTGTGGGGCTTTAATGTGGCCCTGGAGTGGACCCCGCCGGCAGACAACGGGAACTCTGAGATCAAGGGCTACACGGTGCAGAAGTCAGATAAGAAGAGTGGGGTGAGTCTGAGCACTCCTGGGCCCTCGTGGCCTGGTGCTGGGGATGCCCTGATAGGAGAGGGGCAGCTGTACACCCCTGTCTCCCCGCTGCCTTCTCCATGCTTTGGACAGCCTGCCTTTCCTCACCACTCTTTTCTGTTTTTTTGCCTCTCAGAAATGGTTCACAGCGCTGGAGCGCTGCACCCGCACCAGCTGCACCATCTCCGACCTCATCATCGGCAACACCTACTCCTTCCGGGTGTTCACGGAAAACGCCTGCGGGCTGAGCGAGAAAGCAGCCATCACCTCTGCAGTGGCCCACATCAAGAAGACAAGTGAGGACAAGGCGCTGGCCAAGGGGCTGGGGGTGGTGGTGGGCAAGAGGGGTCCTGTCCCTGTTGGGGCTAGTGAGGCTTCTTCAGTGTTGTGGTGATGCTTCTGAGCTGGTCCCCAGGATGAGCCCTGCAGGGGTGAGGCTGTGCATCCCTGAGGCAGAGGTCCAGAGGTCCCCTGGCCTCCTTTTACACCTTCTTTCTCCTTTGGGGAAGGCTTGTGCCATCGTCAGCCCCCTGGGAGTGATCAAGACATGGACACCCCTGTGTTGAGATTGAAGCAGGAGCCAGGAGGGGTGAGGAACAGCCCTGGCTTTGGCCCCATGGCTCAGAGCCAGAAGAGAAAGAGATCCCTGCAGTGGTCCATCTCAGGGCCAAATCTCCAAGCCAGTATCCCTCGGACCCACTCTCCCTCTGTTTCCATCCCACTCCCTGGTAGCACAGAGGGATTTGGGATCTCTGCCACCTGCAGAGCTTACGTCCAGCTCCTATTTCTGTGCACTGAATTTTGGGGAAATCCAGAGAGGTGCCTGGCCTGGATCTGACATGCTGCACATGGCGTGCGTTGCGATGTTGGTTTGCAGACTGGCATCTCCTCTGTTCCCTGCAGGGACTAGGCACTAACATGGCAGAGTCGGATGAGAAGGTGTTTATAGACAGGGCTGGTCTGAGCTGCAGGCCAGGTCCTCAGGTCAGACTAGATGCTGTGTGGCTTGTTATGTGAGGCAGCAGAAGTATTTGGGGGTACCTTGGGCTGAATCCCTGCATCCATGTGCTGGTTGGCCCAGGAGCCTGAGCTCTGCCTCAACCTAGAATTGGTTATTTTCTTAGAAACGTCTTACCAGCCAGAGAAGATCCCCCAAAGAGACATGATGGAGCCTCCGAAGTTCACTCAGCCCCTGACAGACCGAACTACAACTCGGGGCTACAGCACACATCTCTTCTGCTGTGTCCGGGGCTTCCCTCAGGTCAGTGGTTCCTCCGTGGACAGCATCGCCTCCACATGTGGGCAGCCATCAGTGGGGTTTTTGCAAGGTGGATGAAGGTATTGGGAGATGGTTGGTCATGTTGGATTAGGGTTGGATGAAGCTAAGGGGCTGTAGCTGCCCTCTGAGTCAAACTGGGGCAAGTTTGGGATGTTTCTGCATGGAAATGGGAGACTGTTGTTGATTCAAGCTGTGTCCTATTCCCTTCTGCACTGGGGGAGGAAGGGTGGAGCAGTGGCTAGTGCTCAAGAATGGGATATTTAGCTCTTCAAACTACTTCTGACTGAATCCCACCATAGCCATCAGCTTCAAGAAGGGCCAAGGCAAAGGCAGAGGGAAGTGGCTGCATTTTGGGGCCAGTTAGATCTCTCATTTCTCTCCCTGCTTTAAACAAGCAAATAAAACCTGCTGCTTTGCAGCCTAAAATCATCTGGATGAAAAATCAGATGGAGATACGGGAAGACCCCAAATACATAGCGATGATCGAGCAGGGTGTCTGCTCCCTGGAAATTCGCAAGCCCAGCCCTTTTGATGGGGGCATCTACACCTGCAAAGCCGTGAACCCCTTGGGGGAAGCCTCAGTAGACTGCAAACTTGATGTGAAAGGTAAGACTGGCCGAGGGGACAGAGGAGCAGGTCTCCTTGCCTGCCTTTTCCTGTTCTCACTTTCACAGTGGTGTGGTTTGCCCCTGTTTTGTGTGGACCCTGGTGATGGCGGAGCCTAAGGACACTGGGCAGCCCTCTGGAGCTGGAGCTTTGGGCTTCTTGGGTTTATGGTCTTGAAGCAGCTTGAAATCACCTTCCGTCATTCATGGCCAAAAAATGGGGAGGAAACCAGAAACTGCAGAACAAAAGGACCAGAGGTGCTAGTGGAGGCTGGGACAGTCTCTTGCTCCTCACTGTGTCTACCAGCACTTGTGTCCCAAGCCACCCACGAGCCGTGCATGTGGGGGCTGTGCTGAACCCCTTCCACTGGCACCTGGGCTGTTCTGATTTATGTCTCGGGATCCTGCCCAGACTTTCCAGCTCACATTTCCCTGCCTCAGCAGAGCACCCAGCCCAGCCCTTGCATGGAGGTGCCCCGCTTTGCTCCCCGAAGATGCCTCCCCTGCATGCTGCAGACCTGCCTCGGCATGCAGGAGGATGCATACCCGCACACTATACGCATGTTCCTAAGTGGTAGCGTGTCCTTAGACACATGTCATTTTTATCATTCCTCCTCCCACAGCTTCCCAGCACACGCTTGCCCCAAGACACACTCTGCTCTACTTGCCACGCAGGCAGGGCTCCAATCTGGCAGGTGCCCAGCACCCTCGATCCCTGTGGAGCTACAGGGCTGCTGGTGCGGCACGGGATCGGTGCTTGACTCTGTGGCAGCTGGTGCCAGTGCTTCCAGGCGGTGCAGTGAGCGCTGACCCAGCTGGCCCCGGCCACGCTTCCCTGCAGGCAGGGCTGTCAGCGCAGCCGTGCAGGCAGCGCTGTGAAGTCGGCCAGGAGGATGAGCTTGTCAGCGCGCTGGTGACACAGAGCACCTGAGAGTCACCCCAGCTGGGATCTTGGGGGCAAGCTGGCCGGGTGCAGGCAGTGATGGTGGTAGGCGTGTTTGCTTGGACCATGCGTGTGCAGGGATGGTGTGTGCAGGTGCATGTTGGTGTGCAGCCAAGAGTGGGTTGGTTATGCCCTGGCTCACTTTTGGAAGTCAAAAGGGGAGTAAGATAACAGGACTTCAAGGGGTTTATATCTCCTTTTTTCTCCTGCAGTGCCCCAGTGAGGACAGATCGCAGGGCAAGACTAAGATCAAGGTAGGTCTGAGCTGCGGCTGCGGGGTGGAGGGAGGGTGAATCACTTCACTGGGGATGGAGTGGGTTGAGTGTCCCAGATGAGGCCTTGTCACCTGCTGTAGCCCCAGCTCAGGTCTTCCCCATCCCATGGCTGGAGATGCACTGGTGGTGTGGGAGGCTGCAAAGCCTGAGAGGAACCTCTGCCTTTGCAAGGTGGAGGGAGAGCTGTGATTATGGCCAGGAGGACGAAGGTACATGTGGAGACTGGTGTGCCTGGCCACATGTGTGGGCAGCATGACAGGCAGAGCCCAGATTTGCAGGAAGGGCTCAGAGACCTGGGGCATCAGGGGTTTGATGCACATGAAGGGCAGGTACTGGGGCTGGAGTCAGGTATAAAGGGGTGTTAAATGGGGCTGTGGGGTGGGAAAGCAGAGTTAAAGGGTTGCGCCTGAATTTTGTGGGGCAGGAGAAGGTGGAAGAGCTGGGCTGGGTTTGTCTTGCGTTAGAGCTGTGGCTGGGATGTGGTTTCCCATCTCATCCCTGACCACTGGTCTCTCAGCAGCAGTGCTGTCACAGGACTCAGGTCTTGTTCCTTCACCCCAGGTGGATGCTGCAGCTGCTGTGCAGTAGCATGGCACACGGTGATGCTCGTGGCCTCTGCTGCCTGCGGGCCTGCCCCTCCCTGGCAGTGCTCTGGCGGGGGGCCTGCACCTCAGCATGCCATGGCATAGTCCCCTCTGAATGTGTCCTTAGCTGTGACAATAAAACAAACCCATCTGAGGGGCTTCGATCCTAATAAAAACCCTCAAACCTCTCTGTCCTTCTTGTTGTGGGGTTGGCTGGGTGGGGGGAGGTAGAGAGGAGAAAGCTTGCAGGGATGCTACGAGTTCACATAGCATCCCACCAAGCCATGCGTGAGGAGATGGTTTCTGAGCTTGGAAAGAAAGGACCAGCTTTATAAAGCACATATGAAGATGGCTAAACCAGCAACAAGGAGGAGGACGGGGAAAAGTTTTCTTCTGGAGTTGGAGAATGATTCTGGCTGAGGGGAAAAATAGCAACATCAAAACTGTGGCATGTTGATGCTTCTTCATCAAAGAACCATTTCTTTATCCTGGCAAGTGATGCAATGATCCAGACACACAACGCCACCATCATCCCCTCCTCATGGCATGAGATGGCGGGGGCAGGACAAGCGAATGCATTATCCAGAGGAAGAGAAATTTGCCCTGTTATCTACCAATAGCTCATGTGCAGAAAGATGGCTCGTTACTTACAGCTCCGAGACAACTCAGGTCAGATGATGTTTATTAACAGAGAGCCCAGACAGATCCATCAAGCTGACTAAGCGCATCATTAACCAGGGGTCAGCAGCACGGTGTGCCTCCTCTGCCAGCACAGCCTCCTTCTTGGGCTGACAGGTCTGGTGAGGGCGGGAGCTCTCCCAGCTCTGTGCCAGCTCGGTCATGAGGCCAGACCCAGCTCCTGCCCTGAGAAAGATATCCCAGCAGGCCCTGGCCCTGCAAAAATGAGTGAGAATCCATCCCGGGCATCTGCAGATCTGAGCCCAGCCCACCCTTGGTGCCACTGCAGAGTAAAGCCAGGCAGTACCTATGGCTAAAATAGCTGACACCTCTCTGCAGCATCTCTCCTGCAGCCTGCAGCCCCTCTGCTTTGTCCCCACCTGCCCACAGTCACCTAATCTCCATGCCCAAGCTGGAGTCCATGGGGATATAGCTATTCCCAGGGCCGCAGCACTGGCACAGCACTGTCCCCACCAGACATCGTTTCCACCATCAGAGGGCATTGTGGGATTAATTTTTATCCCATCCGATTATCAGGCTGGATTGAGGTGGTTGGTGTCAGTGACAATGCCACCGGGGTGGAGGTTGCAGCCCAGCAGGAGGGTCACGAGCAGGTCTTCCCCTGGCATGCTCACAGCGGGCCCTTGGACACTCACGGGGATGTCCCGACCCCCTTGATGTCCCTGGCATCTTGGCATGTGGCTTTGGCCAGTGGGAGCCTTGGGGGACAGGGGCTGGGAGTGGGCTGTTAGCCAGGGGTTTGCTAACACAGAGGAGAAGCAGCATCTCCAAGACTGTGTCACTGTGACTTTTGCAGACTCTTAATGCAGTCCTACAGGGCAAAGACTGTGTTTGTAACCCCACAGGGGACTGGAGTGGGTAACAGCATCTGCTTTTAGTGAGCTCTTCCCGGGAAAGGTCTGGAGAGCATGGAGTGGAAAAATCCACTAGATGTTTTTTCTGGAAACAATCCTTCACATGCCTTTTAATTTATGAGCATCCCGGTTGTCAGGTTTCTGGGCACCTTAGCAAGGATCAAGCAAACGCATCAGTTCCAGGAAAACAGCCTCTTGCAGAAATAAGATGCAAGTGGGAATCAGACCCGTGCTTAGTAAACAGCAGCCCTGATCCAAGGCCAAGCTACTGCTGTGCAAAGGGACCATGGCCACAGGGTAGGGGGGTCCTCTCTGCACTAGCCTGGGGTTGCAGCATCCTCAGGCACCACTGACAAAGGACTTTGGGTTCTGCACCCAGCCACCTCAAGGAGGCTGGGAGGCTGTTCAGGGCCCCTCCATTGCAATGAGGCCCAAGGGAAGGATTTGCTCCTGTCCTTGCCATTGCTCCTCTGCTTCCCTCCCATTTTGCCCAGTGTGGTCTGAGCCAGGAGCCTGGGTATGATATATTGAGGCTCTGGCAAAATGTGGGAGGCTGAGCCCCCCACCTACTCTCTTCTTTGCTGCCCTCCTCTTCCTCTCAGACAAATGAAGGAACTCCCTCCAGGCTAAACAGAGCTGGCTGCAGCGGCAGGTGAAGGGGACACTGAGCAGCCCCATTGCCCGTCATGTGCACAACATTTCTCTCCGTAGCCAGCTGACAACCCACCCATAAATCTCACCCATCCAAGGTCCTTTTCCTCTCTGTACTCCCAGCCCCTGCGGGAACTCGCTATAGTCACTTTGCCCTTGGTGACGTTGGAGGGGCACGACCCTCCTGGGGCAGGGGAAGGGTCATAGGAGTTGTGTTTCCAATGGGAGACCGGTGAACAAGGGATACTGATAAGAAAATAACCCAAATTAACTCTTCCCACCACTTCTTCATTCCTGGAAGAGATCCTGCTGCAGAGCAGCGACAGGCAGTGCTGCTGCCAGCATCCATAGGGACTTCAGAGCTGGGTGGGGGTGGTGGTCCATCTCCAGCCACCCCCTCCCCAAATGTGACCAAAAATACACCCTACCCATGGCTAAACCTGAGGCAGATACCTGGGGATGGGAAAAT